GTGGACTGTGATGCTCTGTTGTCTCCGAGGCATTGTGACGTTTTTGTGTTTATATTTAATTGGTGATTGTATGTTGGAGTGATTTGCCTATGATTTTCATTTTCTTTGTTTTGTTTGTATGTTATTTATGCAGGCAGGGTACTGTGCTGTGCTCCTCTATTCACTAGTTGACAGCACTTATACACTCACCACCTGTGTCCTTTCCTGTTGTTAGCCTCTCTATGTCCCTGCCGACTTAGCAAACAGAGCCTATGCTTAGGTCCCTGGAGTCCCAATGAGAATGCTATCACTTTAAAATTTGGAAGGGTTGCAACTTGTAAACATTCAAAATAGCTGCATCCTCGGTCACTTTAAATATCCAAAAGGGCTACCAGGTGTAAACAATCAAAATGGCTGTGCCCTCTGGACAGCGGAAAGTCAACAGCTCAGGTTGTCTCCCTTCCTAGTCATAGGCCACCAGGGCAGTCTCCCTGCAGTCCTCAATTCTCAAGTCCTAACACCACTTGGAAATATTCAGGCTGTTGGTCCCGTCAGAGTAGTTGACAGTCCGCAGCTCCCACAGTCTGTACTCGCTGTTTTCGTTCAGGTCCTTTAACTGTTGTTATTGTTATGTGTTGGCGTCTAATCAACTTCTGTATAGTTCCTTTCAAAGCTCAGGGGTCTAAGATTATCTTCTGTATTCCTGTCAATTGGTTTTTCTTTTCTTTGTTGAAGAGGGTCTGTGTCGCTTGCTGCCTATTCCTCCATCTTACCGGAAGTCTAAACCAGGGTATTTTTAATAGCCTCATATGCATGTGAAAGCTGGACAATGAATAAGGAAGACCACAGAAGAATGGATGCATTTTAATTATGATGTTGGTGAAGAATACTGAATATAGCAGGGACCGCCACAAGAATGAACAAATCTGGAAGAAGTACAGCCAGAATAGGATGTTCCTTGGAACTGATGATGGTGAGACTTTTCTCACGTACTTTGGACATGTTATTAGGAGAGACTTGTCCCTGGAAAAGGACATCGTGCTTGGCAGAGGGTCAGAGAAAAAGACGACCTTCAACCAAGATGGACTGATATGGTGGCTGCAACAACAGGTCTAAACAAAACAACAATTTTGAGGATGGCGCTGGATCGCGCAGTGTTTAGTTCTCTTGTACAGAGTGTCGCAATGATTCCCAACCTATTCTATGGCACTTAACAATCTAAATGCGAGCAGATGGTCACGGAGGAGCAGATCGCTACATCTGTTCTCCCCAACAGCTGGTGGGTTCCAACCGCAGACTTTTAGGATGGAACTTTCGGTTAGCAGCCGAGATCGTAACTTTTGTGCCACCATATCTCCTTATAACACACAGAGTCACTCTCAAAAATTGTCCTCTAAATTCCCGGGTAAGCCTGCTCCCTTGACCTTATCGCTCCTCGCTAAGGCGTTTGAAGGGGTATTTCAACTTGGGGATCTGCATCTTCCGGTCCTGCCTCTCCAACTCAGGAATGAAGTTTTGTTTGGTTATCCCAAGGCTTTGATGCCGCCCCCACGCTCTGAATGTTGTGGCTAACCAGCAATCCCACTTCCGCCATCTCTACCCCACTTCCTTCTTTCATTCGTCATCCTACCCGGTGGATCCGCCCCCTCTATGCAGGGCGTCGCTCTCGGTGAGCGTCAGGAAGCGCGACGCTTGACGGCTGTCGTGCTTCACGTGTCAGGCGGCATGGAGGCAGAAGACTCTGAGAAGGAAGCGGCGGAGCAAGAACCGCTGGAAAGGGAAGACCAAAAGCCGCCAGAGGAAGAGCAGGAGGAGGTGGAAGAAGAGCAGAAGGAATGCAGCGGCAAAAAACGAGTAGTGCCGGGAATTGTGTACCTGGGTCATATCCCACCGCGCTTCCGGCCCTTAAATGTACGCAACCTTCTCAGCGCCTACGGAGAGGTCGGGCGCGTTTTTTTCCAGCCCGAAGGTAAGTGCGGAGGCCCAGATCGGAAAGGGAGGAGGAGGGTGGTCGCTGCCGAGTAGGCACGCATGCGCGCCCTGTCTCTTCGACTGAGTCCTGGCTGGTAAATCTGTAGTACGCGTGACTCTTGGGACTGGAGGTATCGCGGTATTACTAGCTGTGGTTTAGTTGTCAGGTTGTTAGTACAAGGGTTGGAATCCAACCTCCACCCACTCCGCTTTCCGTGCCTGAGTTTACCGGTTTGTTAAATGAGTAAATCCCGAGTAAAAATCTCAGTGGCTTTTTCACAAAACTGAACAGGCCAACAGTACATAATCAACCATTTCTCGCCCTCATTTCCATGAATTGGGGTTGGGGGTGTATGCGGTTTTTAAATAGTGTTCAAGGTAAGTCTCATTAAGGAGGTGACATTTGAGCAAAGGATTGAGTTACACATGAAGAAAGGATGCACCTTTCAGATCATTCCTCCCTGGCTAAAACAAGGAAGTGGGACCCTAGCTGAAGGTTTTGGAAAACTGCGAGGCTAGTGGGAGTTGCGGATGCCGCAGTGACTTCCTTGACCAAGGTCCCGTTTTTGGCGTGCAGATGGGTTCGTGCGGCGTAAGAAAAAGAAGGCCGCGGCCACTGGAGAGAAGAAACGGTCCAAGTACAGCAAGGACTATACCGAGGGCTGGGTGGAATTCCGGGACAAGCGTGTGGCCAAGCGCGTGGCGGCCAGTCTGCATAACACTCCCATGGGCGCCCGTAGGCGCAGCCCCTTCCGCTATGACCTATGGAACCTCAAGGTGAGAAGTCAAGTTTGCTGTTGCACCCCTCATCTTCCTACTTCTCAGCCCCTGTCTCATGACCTCTTGTCGACCCCATCTGTTTCCAGTGCCCTCTCCTGTTCCAGCCACCCTGATTTCGTGTTTCTCTACCCACAGTACCTCCACCGTTTCACCTGGTCACACCTTAGTGAACACCTGGCCTTTGAGCGCCAGGTGCGCCGGCAGCGCCTGAGGGCCGAGGTCGCCCAGGCCAAGCGTGAGACCGACTTCTATCTTCGAAGTGTGGAACGGGGAAACCGTTTCCTCTCTGCTGATGGGGACCCTACCCGCCCTAGTAGCTCCTGGACCTTTGCCCAGCGCCCCACGGAGCAGGAGCTGAGGGCCCGGAAGGCAGCACGGCCAGCGGGTCGTGAACGAGCACGTCTGGCTGCTGTCCAGGACCAAGCCCGTTCCAATCGAGGGCTCCTTGCCAGGATCTTTGGAGCTCCACAGCCTTCAGAACCCCGAGTGGCCAGGGACTCCTGAGGGGACACCTAGCCTTGCCCTGCTTCCTCCCTACTCTATACTAGAGTGCTCATAACTACTTGGGCAGGCATTTATTGTGTTTCTCAGACCAGGGGTCTCTGGTGAGAGCCTGAACATGAAAGTTTGTGTGATTCTCCCTGTCCTTCCACTCTCTGTACATGCCTGATATGGAACCTGATTCATACTAGCATAATTATGATGCTTCAGGTGCTAGTTTGTCTTATTTGATTTCTGGCTGCCTACCTTCCTGGCCAGTTGGGCCTCCTGAAAATTCCATTTCCTAGACCCAGAGAAGGGCCTTTACTTCCAACTAGAGTTATAATACCTACCTCAGGCAATAATATCCTAATTACCAACCACAGGTGAGGGCAGTAGCACCATCCTTTTTATTTAGAAAAAGTAAATGGGCAGAAGTTACTGGTGTGGGCAGCCTTCCAAATATAGAAAAAGAAAACACACAGACACACACACACAAGCTTAGTATGCTTTTTAGTTTCCAGGGGAGGGTTGGGCAAGTTCCAACTTCCATCTCATTGTGGCCTACTCACTCATCTTCCCTCCATCTCCCAATCTCAGAGGCTGCTCCCCTTTTCAAGTTCTAATGTTACTTGATACTGATTCTGACTCATTGTGGCCCAAAGAATCTTTGTTTTAGTAGGAGTGATTCTTTTACAGTTCTGACCAGTGGGGCAATGGGTTATGTATCTGATTTTGGCCAGCATATAGTTACTTTCCACCGAGGACCTCTGTAAGTGATCCTTGAAGTAACATATCCCAAATAGTTTCACAATTGACCATACTGCATTGAATTGAGTTAGAAATACCATATTGAGGATTTTGACCATTATCCCAAGGACAATGAAAAGGCATTAAAAGTTATTTGCAGTAGTTACCTAATTTGATTCATGTTTTAGGAAAGTTACTTGGGACACTATGGGGGATGGATAGTGGGATGGGATTTGAGAAGGGTAGTCAGGAAGATGTGGGGTAGAGGGAGAAAGTCCAGATGAGAGAGAGTTGAGGGTGGGCTTCATGTGCTGTTCTTAACAGCTGAAAACGAGACATTCGGGGTTTCTAAATAACTGTCAGCCCCTCTGTCGCCCAGTCAGTGATGCTGATCTGCCCAAGCATCTCCTACGCTCCCAAATAGGGTTGTCAGAAAGCAACGGCCTTGTTCAGGAAGGCAGGGGCAGACTCCAATGGGGATCTTCGAATGGACCATTCACTTTGAATAAGTTAAATAAATAAAGTGATTATGTAAATACACTTTTTTTTTTTTTTAACTTTTATTGTGATAACATACACAGTAAGACATTCGCCAACATAATTACAGTTTTTTAAACTATTTTTCTTTGCTGAGGCAGTAGATACCATCCTGTTTTCAGGACATTCCTTTGGCTATTCTTTTTCTCCATCAGTTGTCAGTTTGTCGAATGGTGGTGGCTTGTGCGTTTCTGTGAGGCTGGAAGCTATGCCACTGTTATTTCAAATCCCAGCAGTGTCATCTATGGTGGACAGGTTTCAGTGGAGCTTCCAGACTAAGGCTGGGAAGAGGGACAAGGCCATCCACTTCTGAAAAAATTGGCCACTGAAAACCATATGAATAGCAGTGAAAACTGTTGGATATTATTGGAAAATTTTATGAATAGCAGTGAAACATTAGAGAGTAGAGGGTCAAAGGGAAAAGGGAAGACCCTCATGAGATGGATTGACACAGTGGCTGCAACAATGGGTTAAAGGATTGTGAGGATGTTCTGTTGTGCAAAGGGTTGCTGTGAGTTGGAGCTAACTTGATATCTAACAACAACAATCTTATTTCTAACTTCTACATCATTACTTTTTGTCTTCCAGACCTTTCATATCCGCATGAAAACATGCTATTATTTTCACTATCTTAATCTCCTAACTCCCCAAACCTTTGCCAGCTTCTGTCCCATTCACTCCCATATTCAGCATCACACTTTGAAAGAATTATCACTTGCAGCTTCTAGTTTCTGTCTTTGCATTTATATTAAACCTGCCTAAATCAGGCTTCTCTCACTTTTACACTCAGTGGGAATGGCTTTTGTCAAAGTCCCTAATGATGTCCAACTTGTTAAATCAGCAGTCAGTTCTCAGGCTTCTACATGACCCATGAAAGCATTTGGGACACTGATTCTTGGTTCATTACATTCATTTAGCTTCCAGGGCACTGCACTCTTGGTTTTCCTCTTCTGCACTGGTAGCTGCTTTGCAGTACTGGTTCCTTTTCTGCTCCAAGACCTCTTAACATTGGTTATTCCAGGGTTTAGTCTGTGGACCTAGTCTGATGGATTTAAATACCAACTATGTGGAGATTACTCACAGCATTTCATCTCCAGTTCAGACTCTCAGGTAAACTCCAGACTCTACACTTATCTTTTCCAAGTAAAGGTTGCTTGTTACCCGAATCTCATTTCCAAAGGACTATTTTCTCTCTCCACTCATACCTCCCTCACCTGTCATTCCCATCTCAGTGGTTGTGCATTCCTTCATTCTGGATGCTCAGGCCAAAAGCTACTTATTTAATTAATCAATCAGTTATGTAATTCATTTACTAAGCCACTATGTGAAAAATGTGTGACAATGGCTATGAACACATGGCCCTTGGTGCTGAGTGTTAAGGGTTACCAGAATAAGATATTTAAGAAATAAATATACAGAGGTATTACAGGCATCATGGTAGATGTGTGCAAGAGGTGAGTGGGAATCATGTAAAGGCCTGGTAAATTACCTGGGAATGTCAGCAGTGCCCTCAATGAGGAGCTAATCTGTGATAACAGTCTTCAGAGCTGCATCAGTCTTTACCATGTTTTCCAGGTCATTCCTGAAAAGTGAACTGAGAAAACAACTGAGCAGTGTCTGAAAACCTGATGTGCTCCTAGAATTGTGTTGGGTTTGAACCACTGGAAAGGTGGTCAAGGCCCACGAGAGAGATTGGGCACAAAAGATCCACTTATACGTGTTGAGGCTTACATAATGGAGGCTCAGTACCCAAGAGGCTGTAAAGAATCAGTGAAAGCCACTAGGAGGAACTGATAACAGGTGTCACAATAAGATATCTATATACAGTCCCACATAGATTAAAACTCTGATAACTCTGATAAACTTGCAGGAAGTGGTAAAGTGTTGTAATAAATACATCAAACCAAACCAAAGCTACTGTCGTTGAATCAATTCCAACTCAGTGATTCCCGTTGGGTTTCGGAGGTAGCTCCATTTTCCGCAGAGGGGCTGGTGGGTTTGAACCACCAACCTTTTGGTTAACAGTCAAATGCCTTAGTCACTGCTCCACCATAGGGATAGATAGATAGATATAGATAGATACAGATACGGATATGGTGTTACTTGTTTCTTAGTTTTCTTTTTTTCCCCTCAGTCACCAATGTAATTATCCATGTGTTCTTTGGGTGAAGTGAGTTCATTCACTCCTTTGTCCTGACTCTAAAATAGTCATATTATGATGTTAATTTGATAACCACACTTTATTTGAGAGAATAAAAATGACCAAACAGTTCTTAAAAGCTTGTAAGTGGCCATCTAAGGTACAACAATTGGTCTCTCCTTGTCTGGAGCAAAGAAGAATGAAGAAAACCAAAAATGCATGGAAACAATTAGTCCAAGGGACTAGTGGACCATGGGAACTTCAGCCTACATGACCCTGAGACCAGAAGAACTGGATGGTACTAGGCCACTACTACTGGGAAAGGGATCAGTTTAGATCCTGGATAGAGTGGGAGAAAAATGTGGAACAAAACTCAAAATCATAAAAAAGACCAGACATAACTGGTCTGATAGAAACTGGTGAAACCCCCAAGACAATGGCTTCTAGTCATTCTTTGGGCCTGGAATTGAACTCACTCTTGTGGTTTCCAGCCAAATAATGGGGGTATTAAGGTGAACATTCACATCAGGTAGGTCTGCTCCTTAGAACAGTCAACCATAGGAAATCAGAAGGGCAGTATTTCCACAGGGACATAGCTCAGAGGGCAAGAATACATAGGAAAGGACACGGGAGAAAGATAGCTATGGGGAAGCAGGAAGAGAGCTGAGACATTATAGGGCTTCAATCAGTGCAATGTCATGAAACAAAATATGTTTATGAACTGTTGTATCCATACAACAATTTGCTCTGTAAACTTTCACCCAAATCACAAAGTAAATAATGACCATACAGTAAACAGTTATGATCTCTTTGGTGAACATTTCCCACAACCTACATTGCCTCTCATACCCAGAACACAAACACCTGTGTAATGGTGCACCCTCATCTTAGGAACTTGATATTCTGGTTCATTTCTTGTGAGTTTGCTTCATGTGGCTTTCTTCTTCAGGTCATGTTGTCTCCGAAAGAGCCAGAAAGTCCCTGTCAGAATTTGACAAGCTGGCATATTCATTATTCACCAAAATTCTCCTGAGGGCCATTGCTACTTTTGCTAGATAAAGAGAATATCAAGAAGAAAAAGATACTTTTCTCCTGAAGTTGCTAACAGTTTAGAAAGTAAAACACATAGTAGGGCTTAATAAGAATTTCTTGAACAAATGAGTGAGTGAAATTGTAATCCCAGGCTGAGTGACATTACAAAACCAAAACCCAAACTCGCTGGCCGTTGAGTCAGAGCCAACTCATAGTGATCCTTCCATGAGTTGCCAAGAGTAGATTGCCCAATCTTCCTCCCAAGGAGTAGCTGGTAGGTTTGAACCACCAGCCTTCTGGTTAGTAGGCAGATGCCTTAGGCACTACACCACCAGAGCTTCTGGGTATTGATATACTCAAGGCACAGCATCTCAGGCTCTTCTTCAGATAGTTTTGTTAAAAGAGCTCACGCTAGCAGCCAGGTAAGCTGGGGAAATCACAAGCGGCATCCAGCAAAATATAAAAGAAATAACACAATCTGAACAAGCTTGGTTCATTTCAGAAATGCAATGTTGGTTCAATGCTTGAAAAGCAACAAATATATATAATTATATTAATAGAACAA